TGAGAAGGCAGTTCCTACCGGTATTGGTAGTACTTGTTGATGACTGTTCTCTCGACATATTCTGTCGTCGCCACCGCCTTCTTTCAACTTTCAAGGCACGTTGGTCTTACATTTTCTGTCGATGACACCAGTGTTTTTTGGCATCAGAGCGACGTTTTTCCAGTAGCTGGTGTTCAGATACATCCTGTCGCAGGTGCCGCCTTCTTTCAAGATCAGACGCATGCTGCTCTGTAGACACTTTCTGTCGATAACGCTGGCATCTTTTGGCTGCAGAGCTACGTTGTGTCCCACCTCTCTACTGTCACGGTCTGAGATGCAGGTGAATGAGAGTCCTGGCTGTCAGGCTGCTGAGAGCTATCTGACCAATGGCTGATTCTAGCTGATTCTATGGGGGTGGGACTTCCTCCTCTCTGCTGTCAGTTTCCACAGCTGTGATGAGGAAGCTGGGGTGACAGGGAGCCGCGCCCTCTCTTGCTCTGCTCTATGTCCAGAGGCCTCCTGGTCTGCCAAGTCCTCCAAACCTCCCACTCTCCGCCAGCAAGGTCCCGGGAGCCTGCGGGCGTGGCTAGGCGTGGGCGGCCGTGCCTCCCCAACCGGCGAAAGTCCCGGGAGCCCGTGGGCACAGCTGCCGTCGCCTCCTGGGGCACTTGACACCTGGGTATGCAAATTAACTGCCATCTTTGTTGGATAATTTGCATAGTTATTCAGATTGGCTTGTGGGTGTGGCTTTAGCGTAGCAGAGGGGCGGCTAATTTGCATGTTTCTCTTTTATTATATAGGATAAGATATGCTTTATATATTTAGGTGCTCCTCTGTTGGGTGCATAAATGTTTACAAGAGTTATATCCTCTTGTTGAGTTACTCCCTTTATCATTATGTAGTGTATTTGTTTGCCTTTTACTATAGCTTTTGTGTTAAAGTCTATTTTGTCTGATACACATATTGCTGCCCCAGCTTTTTAAAATTTCCATTTACATGAACTATATTTTATTATCACTTTCAGTATCTTTTGACCTGAGGTGGGTCTCTTATATACGGCATATATATATGGGTCTTGTTTTCTAATCCATTCAGTCACCCTCTGTCTTTTGATTGGAACATTTATTTCATTTATATTAAAGTGATTATTGATAGGTATATAGTTATTTTCATTTTATTATATTTATGTGTTCTTTATTTCCTCTTAAAAGTCATTTTAATATTTCTTATAATTCTGGTTTGGTGGTGATCAGTGTTGTCATAGAGACTCCTTTAGCTTTTTCTTAGCTGGGAAGCTCTTTAACTGTCCTTTGATTAGAAACGATAGTTTTGCTGGGTAGAGTAGTCTTGTTTGTAGGTCCCTGCTTTTCATAACTTTAAATATTTTGTGCCAGTCCTTTCGACCTGCAAAGTTTCTGTTGAGAAATGAGCTGATAGTCTCATGGAAGCTTATGCTTTTCTCTTGCTGCTTTTAAGATTATCTCTTTGCCTTTAACTTTTGGCATTTTAATCATGATGTGTTTTGGTGTGGCCTCTTTGGGTTCATCTTGTTTGGGAGTCTGTGCTTCCTGGACTTGCGTGTCTTTTTCCTTCAGGTTAGGGAAGCTTTCTGTCATTATTTCTTCAACTAGGTTTTCATTTCCTTGCTTCCTCTTTTTTCCTTCTGGTACCCCTATGATGTGAATGTTGTCATGCTACCCAGTGGTCCCTTAAACTATCACCTTTTTTAAATTCTTTTTTTCCATTCAGATTGAGTGTTTTCTGCTTCCTTTTCTCTCTAATTGCTAATTTGACCCTCTGCTTTATCTACTCTGCTGTTGATTCCCTGTAGTGTATTTCTCATTTCAGTTCTTTTAGTCTTCATTTCTGATTGGTTATTTTTTTATGATTCCTACCTCCATTTTTATGTTTCCTATCTTTTTGTTGAAGTTCTCACTGAGCATGCTTATAACCTGTGTTTTGAACTCTGCATCTGGTAGATGGCTTCTCTCCATTTTTTTAGTTCTTTTTCTGGAGTATTGTTCTGTTGTTTCATTTGGGACGTGTTTCTTTGTCTCATCATTTTGGATGCATTGATGTGTTTTGTTTCTTTGTATTCGGTAGAGCTGCTGTATATCCTGGTCTGGGTAGAGTGGCCTATTGTATTAGTAATCCTGGAGGGCCCAGTAGAGGAAGGAGCCTCCTTGATCACTGCACTGGTGCGCCCCCTGTGTGGGTTGTGTGCCCCCTCTTGTTATAATGGAACCGTGATTGCTTTGGACAGGTCAGTGGAAGGAATTTATCCCCAGGCTGATTGGCTGCAAGGATTAGTTGCAACCACAATGGGGAGCTGTTGTGCAGGGACTGACCTGATGGAGCAATACTCATCACTTCACCAGAGCCCTGATGCCCGAAGAGTTCACCCCTTGAATGTGTCACTCGGGGTAGTATTTGGGTGGTGAACTTGCATGGTCTGAAGCTGACCACCAGTTGTGCTGGCTCTGGGGCCTACCTGGAGGGGCAGGCCAAAATCAGCTGCCACCTGTACCCTGCCAGGGCTACCCAGCATGACCTACAAAACAATCTGCAGATGGCTGCTACTTGTGGTGGGCTTGGAGGAGCCTAAGAAAGATCAGACTATGTACTGTGGCCAGTTGCTGCTAGTCCCCAGCTTGGAGCCACTTAGCAAAAAGTATATGGCATGCCTTGACCAGATGCCGCTTGTGTGGGGTTTGTGAACCTTTAAGAGATTTTAGGATGGAAGTGGCTTAGGTGGGTGTGTAAGTTGGATGGGGCAGGGTCTCAGGGAGTCATCAAGATGGGGCAGACAGTGTTGGCCAGGTTGACAGAGACTCAGATCGGGCTCCCGCCTGCTGGCTCTGTGGTGTAGTGGTGGCTCAGCAGAGGAGCAGTGGCCTCTGCCAGCACTTCTTTCTGGGAGAAGGCTAGCTCTTCAGCTCCCACTCTGGTGCCAGACACTTCAGTTCCTCCCTGAATGTCCCTGATGTGCCTTTTGAGCCACTGCCCCAGCACTGGAGCTCAGAATGAGTGAGTTTGAGTAAGTTCATGTGCTGGCCCTTTAAGAGGAACACCTGGGACTCCAGCAGCCTGTGTCACTCAGCCACAATCCCTGCTGGTTTTACACCCAGAACTTATGGGGACTTCTCTTTCTGGCACTGGAACCCTGGTAGGGGGCTTGGTGTGGGGCTGGGACCCCTGGCATCTCAGGGGCACTTCTGAAGACGAGGTATCCCTTTCTTTCTTTTTTTTAATCCTCACCCAAGGATATTTTTCCATTGATTTTTAGAGCGAGTGGAAGAGAGAGGGAAAGACAGAGAGAAATATCACTGTGATATTTTGATTGGTTGCCTCCTGCACGCTCCCTGACCAGGCCAGGGAGGAACCTGCAACTGAGGTACGTGCCCTTGGCCAGTATTGAACCCAGGACCCTTCGGTCTGCAGGCTGACTCTCTATCCACTGAGTCAAACCAGCTAGGGCCCAAGGTAACCTATTTAATTCTTAAGTGGCATACATGGATGTGGGGCCAGTCTTTTCCATGTTTCCAGCCCTCCTATCAGGGCTGTCATAGAGGCTGTACCATTTTACTTATCACCAGGAATGCTAAGGATTCCAAGTTCTCCACATCCTCACCAACACTTGTTATTTTGTGTTGTTGTTTTCATAATACCCATTCTAATGGGTATGAAGTGGTATCCCTTTGTGGTTTGGTATTTACTAAGGATTAGTGATATTGAACATCTTTTCATGTGCTCATTGGCCATTTGTATATCTTTGCTCATTTTGTTTGATTGTTGTTGATTTGTAGGAGTTCTTTATATTCTTGTAGCAACACTTCACATATATATGATATGCAGGTAGTTTCTCCCACTGCATGGGTTGCCCTTTCACTCTTTTGATATTGTTCTTTGTTGTGTAGTGGAGGATATAAAATTTAAAAGTTCTGGAGCTTTATTCATCTTTTTCATAATACCATCATGCTGTAGAATTCAAGATGCATGTCTTAGCGAGGTGTTGGCTTCAGTAGTTGCCAAATAGTCTCTTTGCCAAGTCTTGGGTGATATGGCAAGGGATCTTTTTTTCCTTACAGATCAAGAGGTACCCTTTTACCTCCGTGGCTCTGAAGTGACGCCCTGAGCAGTTCACTAATGCAGGCCAGGAGGTGCCCATGACTTGAGGCACCCTGTCATGGGCATAGGCAGGGGCTTGGTATGGTGTGTGCTCATGGGTCCCTCCCTCTTTCTGCGGGGGCTTAGGGGGTAGCCCCTTGGAGTCTTTGTGGAGTAGTGTAGAATTGCCCGGAAGCCTTGCCTTTCATTAACCAGAGATGGCGCTGAGCCTGTCCTGGGTGAATTTAGGGAGATAAGGTAGTTATGGGGCTGCCAAATGATGGGTTCTAACACTGTTAGCATTACCGTGCCCGCCTAGGTCTTTTCACTGATGCCCATGCTGCTCCACCTTGGAGCGCACCCTTCCCTCATCACAGCCACAGCTTTCATGTGTGACCAGGCCTGCAGGCACGAGACTGTTCTCAGCTTTTGGAAGCTCAGCTGCGGGCTGTTTGATCGTGGTGCCCTCTGAGCCTTTATGAAGTTTCCTTTTTTTTTTAGTATATTTTTATTGATTTCAGAGAGAGGAAGAGAGAGATAGAAACATCAATGATCAGAGAAAATCATGGATCAGCTGCCTCCTGCATGCCCCACACTGGGGATCGAGCTCACAAGCCAGGCATGTGCCCTGGCTGGGAATCGAACCGTGACCTCCTGGTTCATAGATCGACGTACAACCACTTGCAAAATATCATCTCCATTCACATAAGGAAAAATCAGTACCTTCCCCAGAGTTATAAAACTAACCATTCTCAAAATCAGTACTTTTCTCATGCCTGTTGGTACAAAGTTCATACTTTCTTCAAGCCATCTTGTTGGGCTCACTACTCTGGCTGATTATACTATGTTCAGCAATAATTGGAAAAACTTTCAGCCTAAAGAGATGTTGAATCTTTACCAACCACATCTTTCAGGGCAAGTGACTTGGTCATGAAGGTGGATGCTCTCCTGTCTGCTCAACCAAAAGGAGACACGAGAATCGAGTACCAGTTTTTTGAAGACAGACACAGGTATGGGACTAACATTGAATTTGTGTGTATCCTTGAATATTAAACTCTTTTTTAAATGAACTTGAATGTTTTATTACTAAACTGTTTCTTGTTTTCCTACAAGGCTATTGCTTTTCTGTATAAAAATAGCACCAGCAAATACAGTATATTGTAAAATTAACATAGTTTTGTTTGTCATCAGACACTGTACAACTAACAAAACTTTTCTCCACTGCTGGTTATATCCAATGGAAAGATCACTACATATTTTGAAAGTTACAGTGTTATATAAGGCTTAAGATTACAATGTTATCCTTGAATTACATGATTTTTATAACTAGATTTTACCACAGAAATTTCAGGAATTCTGAATGTTATAACTGTAGCCTCACCTGAAAATCATAGGGCGTTGAGAGAAAGATGCATGTTGTGGTATCTGCAGTCATTAGAAAGTCCAGGGCATTTTCTCCCAGGAGCGTTGCTGTAAGTAGTTTCTTTTCCCATGGGTGTTACTAAATGGGCTACGTCCTGTCCTCCACGAACTTAAGATGCTAGTTATGGTGTCGCATCTGCTCTATTCGGGGGCTCCATTTTCCTTGCCAGTAGACTGTCTGTTTCTCCTGCTTCTTCACTCACTGGTTCCGTCTTCACAAGATCTGCTGACAATCCTGGATCCTCTGCAGGAGCTTCATTGCTTTCACTTGCTTCTCGACAGGGCGAGTCAAGTTCATGGGCAGCTTTCACTCTTTCCAAAGCACCACACTCGTGTTCGCTTTGCTCCAGCGTTAGGCTAACAATAGTAAACAATGTCTCCCAAAGCTTCCTGAGCAAATGCTGACTCCCACTGTTGCAGAACCATTTCTGTCACTTGGGCCCATTTCTCTGTGAGTTTATGCCTGAGAGCAGCTGGGCCCAAGGCAGTGCGCAGCCGCAGCCACGGGCAGCACCTCGCGAGCACGGAAGTCTTAGGTTGCCTTTCCCTCAGACCAGCGGTCGGCAAACTGCGCTCGCGAGCCACATGCGGCTCTTTGGCCCCTTGAGTGTGGCTCTTCCACAAAATACCACGTGCGGGCGCGCATGTACAGTGCGATTAAAACTTCGTGGCCCATGCGCAGAAGTCGGTATTTTGTGGAAGAGCCACACTCAAGGGGCCAAAGAGCCACATGTGACTCACGAGCCGCTGTTTGCCGACCACTGCCTCAGACCCATCTATTTTTCATATAAAGTCTGTGTAGAAGTTCTTACATGACTGGAAAATTTGTCTGGCATATGGTTTTCATATGTACTCATATTCATATGTAAAACTTATATATATAGATCTCAGTTGTCTAAAAGTTGACATTTATTTCTAAATCCATCTGAAATAGTTCTGACTGCACCCTTTCAGAAAACAGAAAGCATTTAATTACATGGATCAATTGTAATTTTCTGATATTCAAAAAGAAACAGAGTTTGTTAGAACACTTTCCTTGTTCATCTTTTGTTGAAAACTGTTTTGTTTTCCATAAAATAAAAATGCGTTTAGCATTATGAGGATGTCCTTTCCTTTTCCCCCCAGTTTTTTATTTGGAAAAGTTTCAAACCAAGAGAATAGTTGAAAGACTATTACAGTGAACACCCAAATATATTTAACCTAGATTTACCAATTTCTTTTTCCTACACCAAAGAAAAATGTTATTGAAGTATTTAAAAATATACGGGGAAAAAATACATGGGAAAAGACAGACAAAGGCATTGTCACACAGCTGATTTCTAAAGTCAGTACTTTTGAAATATAAAACGATCGTTTTCCCCAAAAGTCAGTTTATTGAAAAAAATTGATTTTAAGTTGGTCTATAATTTTTCATTCAATTTTGTTTACAAATATTACTAGGTTTCTCAGTTTCATCCCATGTCAGAACTTTGTTTTTTGGAAATATTTACTTCTCAAAGTTGTATATAGTTACTTCTTGCAATTAATGTCAGCAACTATAGGGAGCTTCTCTAGTCACAAGAATTCCGTATGGCTGCTGCTTTGGAAACAGTTACCATATTGGGTTACCTATGTGAAGACTCATGTACTCAAAGTCCAAATATTGGGGGCAGTATGAGGACTGAGAGCAGGAGGACGAAGGAAAGATGGTATTATCTTTAACTGCAGACCTGCTGGAAAAGACTCCACTAATAACTTTGGTACTAGTGCTAGAGAAGCAGTTGCTGCCAATCCACAAGTTGGCTATATAACTGTCCATTTTGTATTTCCTTCTCTAAAGAATGGCAGACCTAAGTAATTAGGTTGCTCAATAAAATGAGCAGAGACTTTTGAGTTACAATATACTTGAACTGTGAAATAAATTATTTTCTTAATTGGTTTAGCAGCCTTGGGTCTGCAAAGGAAGCAAACCCAATTTTGTTTCAAAATTAGAAGGCTGACTCAAGAGGCTGTTAGTAAGATGCCTAACTATCTTCTATCGCCAGTCAGTCTTGAACATGGACCTTTGTGAACTCACTAACTTAGTCAGTGTGAAAATGATCTCATCCCTCAACACACAGTGTTGAGCCAGCAAAATGAGAGAAAAAAAAGTACACTCACAAGGTAGGAATTGGCTTATATAAAACAAGAGAGCATATACCCTCTTATACAGCACAAGAGGAATATGCATGGCAATAAAAACAATCTACGTTAGACTTGTAAGAGATGATTTTGGTGTACATGTAAGTTGGCTTAAACTGACCATGACGGAATGATTGGAAAGTTTCTTCTCCTGACATAATGCCCATTCATTATAAACTGAGCTGGTCTTAGTTTCTTATAAATCTTAATTTCCTTGGATTTATCTGCTACACCCTCATTTTATAGCCATTTAACTTACAAGCTGGGCCTGCCCAGCCTCCCTCTGAAGCCTCTCTTGAGAAAGGTACCAGGTGCATTAAGCACAGGCAACCTCCCGTAAGAATCGGCACTTCACACAGCATATGAAGAACCAGCACTAGGCTCTCCAACGTAAATACCTCTCATTTCACACTATCATGGGAGCAGTGCAGTTCACTACCCACTCCTTCCTTACAGGCGACTCAGCAGCTGTAAACGCTTTCCTTCAGTTTCAAAGCCTTTCAATACTTGTTAATTCCAAAATCCAAACACATGTAGCTGTGGCACTTTGGGAACTGGCACACTCAGGAGAGAAGCTGTGTTCAGCATGAAGTGAGCTAGAGCATACTTCATATAGCAACTTGCCAGAAAATACAGAATTATTGGAGAAATTGTGAAAAACTTGCGCGAAGATGTAAACTGTACTCCATAGTCTGGTTGTTCCCAAGGAGTTAGGAGCCTTGCTTTACCCTGGCCAGGAGTTTCAAAATGTGTTCCTTTTACAGCGTGCAAAAACACATACACCCCAGCTTACACATAACATGTGTTCAGGCCATGCCGCAGAACACTGAAGAAGGGAATACTGAGTAAGACAATATGAAGCAAGCCAACGCCTCATGCATGTGTCAGCCACATCCCTGGCTGTCCATTGCCCAGGTGTTTGGGTTCATTGCCCCTCCGCCACACGCCCAGCGGGCAGTTCGGAGAAGGACCGGCTCCGCAGGACGGTGTCTCCTTGCAGCCGAACGCCAGCGGTCGGCCCCAGAGCACTAGATTCACCGATTGTTAACAAATGCCACATTTTTCTCTCATCTGTGCGTGTGTATAGTACATCTAAACTATATTTGTGTGTTTGCATACAAACATGTGCGCCCACGTATTTTCTGAATTACTTGAAACCATGTTTCAGACATCCTTACACATCATGCCTAAATTCTTCAGCATGTCTCACCCAAGTACCAGTCTTTCCACAGGCCTTCTTAGCATGCCCCAGCAACTTAATCCTGATACAGTCTCATTAAATAATGCACAGCTCAAATCTCTCCATCGCGCTAGTAATGACATTTACAGCTATTTCATTACTTCGTATTGATCAGTCTCCTTTAATCTAAAATAGTTACCTGCTCCTTCTTGTTTTCTTTTTGTCTTTTATGACTGACTTTTTAAAGAGTGCAGACCAGTGGTCGTGTGGAATGTTTCACAGTCTGGTTTGTTTCCTCCTCGTGAGATTTAATAGTAACGTGTCTTTAGGAGGAGCCCCTAAATTGGTGTACGTGGCCTTTGCCTGAGTGGGCGTGTGTACATCCTCATCGCCCCTTAGATGCAGCAGGGAAGCTTCAGGTAGAGAGCCAGCCCTGCCCTCCAGGGCCTGACACACCTGCCTGAGCAGAGTGGTGTGGCTGACCTGTGCTGGCTCACCCAGCCCTGGGGAGATCAGGTGTGAGCAGACTGAGGATTCCAGACTAGAATGAGGCCTTCTCCTTCCTCACTTGTGTGCCTTCTGAATTCTTACGTTGCCAGTGGGTGAAACGTCTGTCTCCTTGCTCAGACCCTGGTTGGATTTTCCCATTGGCATCCATCTTCTTATCACTCCGTACTTTGAGGAAATAACTCTGACCTAGTCACTGCCACAGAAAGCATGTTTCCTGGCTGACCCTTCCATGGCCGAGATGGGGAATCCGGAGCAAGAACTCTCTCTAGAACAGTAGTCACCAACCTTTTGGACCTCGCGGACGACCGGTTGGTGACCGCTGATCTAGAACACCCCTTTCTCCATGAGTCTTATACAATTAAAATGCCCTAATTGCAGATTTTGTTACAATACAAATTATAATTAGAGAAATTCTTTTTATTGGGTTTGTATTAGTATTTGCTTTATATCAGAAGTTACTTATTTTTTCAAGAATGGAGGTCTGAATTATGGGTATGTGCATCCTTGCCCTAAAGTGTGTCCCTGGACCAGTGGCGCGCATTGTTGGGGAGAGGGTGGGCAATGCGTTCTCTGGCCCCAGCCTAGACTTCTGACAGCATATCCACTGAAATGAGGTCCCCCAGGTGACTCCTGTGTACATCAAGATTGGTGAACACCTGCGTTCTTTGATGTTTGCTCTACTCACCACCAGGTGGCCTTGTTCTAGAGCTAAGGTTTTTTTGAAATGCTAAGAGGACTGATAAATTATATTGGACTCTGCCCTACCCCATGCCCCTCCAAACCCCTGTGGCAAAAACAAATTAACTTTGTTTCTTGTTTTCCTCTAGATTAATGCTTTATCTTTTGATCTCTGTAGTGCAATTAAACTCAGGCCAAAAGAAGGAGTGACGTACTTTGATGTCGTGGCCATCCTTGACCCTGTCACCAGAGAGTCACAGAGACTGGCCCCGTTGCTCTTGGTATGGACAGCGCAGAGGCGGTACATATCCTTCTGTGAGGCGACCCCATGCCCTGTTACTCTGAGGCCGTCAGTGTCCCTTAGTTATCCTCAGAGGGCATTGGAAACCCCGTAAGGCATCTTGGGCGAGCTAATGTCTTCATGCAGAGTGGCAACGGCTCTGCAAACAGCTTCGTAACCTTAGCTGGTACAGGTTTGATTGGTTGGCTCCTGTAATGAAGAAAAAAATTATCCTTACTTAGAGCAAAATGTCTTTGAATTAAATTGATTATGCCGTACTGTAATTTATGGTGAAGAGCTAAAAAGGTTTGCTTTATCATTTTCCCTTTTATAACTAGCATGTCTTTTAGATATGTATAAGGTATGACCATTTTGAGAACATTTAAAAGAGCTCTGCCTAGAAGACAGTTGCTTCAACTTGTTTTATGTTGTGGTTTTCTTCTTTAAAGATAAAGTTTTAATGAAGTGTAATGAACTGACCTTCTGTTGTGGGTATTAGTGTGCATGTGTTTTCATGCTGTAGTATCTAAGCTGCACTGAGGGTCTTTCAACATGCTGCTGCTTCATGCCTGCGTGGGGGCGGCTGGCAGTGGCCATGGCATGTGTGTGTGTGAGTGAGATTGTACGCTGGAGTGTGTCTCTTTTCTTGTGATATTAAGACATGTTCTGTCTTTTAGTATCAAGAGATAAATTTATGTTTTGTCATCTGGTTTGCTCTTTTAGGTGTTAACTCAGCTGATCAACATGAATCTAAGAGTATTTATGAACTGCCAATCTAAACTTTCTGACATGCCTTTAAAAAGGTAAAGCAAGCTCTTTAAGAAATCAACAATTGACAAACATCTAAAAGCTGGGTTTATAGATGGATTGTCATATTTGAAAAGATCACTTACTGAATGCTTAGGTTTGCTAACTCCCCGCTCTAATCAGCAGTTGTAGGAACTCTCTGGGTGTGGGTGGGGGGGCACTTCTGTGGCACTAGCCACACTCCCTGCGCTGTTCTCCCCCCCCCCCATCTCTGTCTCTCTCATTGGTCAGAATTATACAGTTCTCTAATTTTAGAACATGTGATCAGTGTAGCTATTAAGTTTACCTCTCTGTGCCGTGGTGAGAAAAGACCGGTTCGTGCTTTTTTATCTTAGAACTAGAGGCCCAGTGCACAAAAATTTGTGCACTCGGGGGGAAGGGGGGTCCCTCAGCCCGGCCTGTGCCCTCTAGCAGTCTGGGACCCCTTGGGAGATAACGACCTGCTGGCTTAGGCCTGCTCCCGGGTGGCAGAGGGCAGGCCCAATCCCTAGGTGCAGCCCCTGGTTGTCAGGGCCAGCCTGACAGGGTTGAGCCGGGCTGAGGCAGGGAGGTGGGAATTGAGAAAAGAAAGAAAGACAGGAAAGCGGGGTCGGGAGGACCCCAGTTCTCTTGATGAACTGAAGCGAATTTATTAGCTATACAATCCTATTTATACACAACACACTGAATAGGAGGTCTGTCAAGAGGAATGTATTCTTTGTTCCTCTTAATCTCTAAGGGAGAGACATAGCAGAAGGACAAGTTCTCAGTACAGCATATCTCAGTAAATAGTTACAGACTTCTGGGCAAGCTATGAAAGGCTGTTCTCATTCTACAAATGTTACTCCCATTCTACTGATAATCGCTATCCAAACAAGTCTGGGAAAACTGTGTGGGTAAGGGTCCCAGCCTTGCTAGCCCCTACAGGTGCAAGGACCTTGCCAGCTTACATCTGGCCCCCAACACCTGGTCGGGCTCAGAGCAGGGCCGATTGGAGGGTTGGGGCACCACCCCCGGTCACACTCAAGGCAGGGTCGATGGGGAGGTTGCGGCGCGACCCCCTGTCACGCACAGAGCAGGGCCAATCCGGGGGTTGGGGCACTGCCCCCTGTCACACACAGAGCAGGGCCCATCAGGGGGGTTGGGGCTCCGTACCCTGTCATGCACAGAGCAGGGCCCTACAGGGGGTTGAGGAGCTCCCCCCTGTTACTCACAGAGTAGGTCTGATAGGGGAGTTGGGGCACCGTCCCCTGTCACACACAGAGCAGGGCGGATCAGTGGGTTGGGGCACCGCCCTCTATCACCCACAGAGCAGGGCCAATCAGGGGGTTGGGGCGCTGCCACTGTCACACTCAGGGCAGGGCTGATGGGGAGGTTATGGCTCTACCCCGTCACACACAAAGCAGGGCCTGGGGGGAGGGGGTGTTGGGGTGCCGCACCCTGTCACACACAGAGCAGGGCCGATCAGGGTGTTTGGGCACTGCCCCCTGTCATGCTGATCCTGGTGCTGGGAGGCATATTACCCTTTTACTATATAGGATAGAGGCCTGGTGCACAGGTGGGGGCCGGCTGGTTTGCCCTGAAGGGTGTCCTGGATCAGGTTGGGGGTCTCCACTGGGGTCCCTGGCCAGTCTGGATGAGGGGATGATGGCTGTTTGCAGCTGGTCACTCACCCTTCAGGGTGGGGGTCCCTACTGGGGTGCCTGGCCAGCCTGGGTGAGGGGATGATGGCTGTTTGCAGCTGGTCACACACCCTTCAGGGTGGGGGTCCCCACTGGGGTGCCTGGCCAGTCTGGGTGAGGGGCTGAGGGCTGTTTTCAGGCTGGGGGTGACTGAACTCCCAAACGCTCCTTTTTTTTTTTTTTATTCTGGGCCAGCTTTAGCTTGAGGCTTGGCTCCAGCTCTTAGGCCTCCCTCTGGTGCTGAAAGTAGGTTTCTGGCCTTTGCTTACAATGTTGTGAATCTGCTGGCTGAAGTCCGGCGATATTTGTTACAATGTTTCTTAAACTGCCCGCTCAGAGGCCTGCAGCCTCAGGCAGGGAACGGGGAACGTTGGTTTCCTCCAACGATCCTCCGTCACTGAGGCAAGCAAGCCTCATGTTAGTTTCAAGCTGCCTGGCTGCCGGCCGCCATCTTGGCTGACAGTTAATTTGCATATCTCCCTGATTGGCCAATGGGACGGGTAGCGGTCGTATGCCAATTACCATGTTTCTCTTTTATTAGTGTAGATAAGAGCAGTTATATCACGTTGGAGTGTGTGTGTCCGAGGAACCTACGGAGGGTCCTTTGTGTGCATCTTCAGAAGGAGGCATGCTTCCTCTGAGCTTTGAAATGGTCCTTAGGAAAAAAGAGACAAAAAGCAGTTAATAGTAATAGTAGGACACATGTTGGGGCTATGGGAAATTTCCAATTTACAAATATGCTGTGTTCTATAGGTTAGATTCTAAGTGAGTTTGTTTATTTACCAGTGCACGGTGGGGGCCGGCCAGCCCGCCCCGATCACGGGCCGGCTGGGGGGAGGGGATGCAGGAGGTTGACTGGTTGGTTTCCCAGTCGAGAGACACATTGATTGCTTGCCTCCTGCATGAGCCCGGACCAGGGCCTGGGCCAGGGAGGAGCCTGCAACTGGGGTAACATGCCCTTGACCAGAGTCAAACCCAGGACCCTTTGGTCCACAGGCTGACACCCTATCCACTGAGCCAAACTGGCTAGGGCTGATTCTAAGTGAATTTAAACTGTTTGAAAGAGACAAATGAGTTCCTAGCTCCCACCATTGCCCTTGTTCAGGAGAAATGTTTAAATTATTACATACAGTGTCTTCAGGGTGCATCTGACAACCCAGTCACCATTTAGGACTTTGTAAGGTAAAAATGAGTTTTTCTCACTGAAGAGAGGAAACAATCAGGAAATGCCTGCAACCCCACGAGCAGCCCCCACAGCAGTACAGGAAGGGGTGGCCTCCCTCTCGGTCCTATTCCTCTGGCTCTTCTTTGCATCTTCAACAACCATAGGTGGCTAGTTAGGTCAAGAAACAGTTTTGGAAACACTTTCCCAATCTGGAAGGAAACCTTCCAAATCTGTTTGTTATAAGCCAGTTTACCTTTATGGAGACCTGTAATCTCAAGGGCTGTGGTTGTATTTTTTTAAAAAATTAACACTTTTCTTTTTAATTTCAGCTTTTACCGTTATGTCTTAGAACCAGAGATTTCTTTCACTTCAGACAATAGTTTTGCTAAGGGTCCAATAGCCAAATTTTTGGATATGCCACAGTCTCCTCTGTTCACTCTGAATTTGAACACACCTGAGAGTTGGATGGTAGAGTCTGTCAGAACGCCATATGACCTGGATAACATTTACTTAGAAGAGGTAAGAATGTTACTGCGTCCAAGTGTTAATCATGTGTAGTGGTGATAGTCCCTGACTGAATAGACTGGATCACCGTCTAGGCAGGCCTTTGAGATGTCAATATTCAGGCACAATTATATTCTTTAAAATAATAGCTTCATTGAGATCTGATTCCCATACCATAAAATTCACACTTTTAAAATGTACAGTTGAGTAGTTTTCATATACTCAGAGAGTCCTGTAACCAGCATCACTACCTGATTACAGGATGTTTCTGTCCCCCTTAAGGACACTCCATAACCGTTCGCAGTCACTCTCATTCCTTCTGGCCACCACTACTGTGTCTCTGTGGATTTGCCTGTTCTGACATTTCATCTAAATGGAATCATATTTTTAGGACTGCCTTCTTTCACCTAACTTATTTTCAAAATTCATCCTTGTTGTAGCATATATTAGCACATTGCCAGATAATTTACTGCCAGATTATATTCCATAGTATGGAGAGACCATATGTCAATTATTCACTCATTGATAGACATTTGGGTTGCTTCTACTTTTTGGCTATTATGATTAATGCTTCTATGAACATTCGTACACAAATTTTTATAGATATGCTTTTATTTCCCTTGGGTATATACTTAGAAGTGGAATTGCTAGATTGTATGATAATTCTATGTTTGACCTTTTGAAGGATGGCTGAGCTGTTTTCCGAAGTGACTATACCATTTTCCATTCCTGACCCAATGACAAATGATGATCGGCATTTTTTAATGTGTTTGTGGGTCATCTGTATACCATCTTTGAAGCAATCTGTATTCAAATATTTTGCCAATTTTTAAAAATTGCTTGTCTTTGTCAAATTGTAAGAGTTCTTTATATAGCCTGGATACTGTTCCTTATCAAATATATTATTGGCAAATAAGTTTTTTTCATTCCATGGGTTGTATTTTCACTTTCTGGATAATGTCCTGTGAAGCACAGATGTTTTAAATTTGATAAAGTCTGATTTACCTATTTATTTCTTTTGTTGTATTTGCTTTTGGTGTTCTACTTGAGAAACCATTGCTTAATACCAGGTCGCAAAGATTTGCTCCTATGTTTTCTTCTAAGACTTCCAAAATTTTAAACTCTTATATTTAGGTCTTTGATTCATTTTGAGTTATTTTTGTGTATAGTATGAGGGTGTCAGCTTTATTCTCTCAGTGGATTTTCAGTTGCATCATTTATTGAAAAGACTATTCTTTCCCCAGCTGAATGGTCTTGGTGCCTTTGTTGAAGATGAATTAATCCTAAATGTGAAGATTTAATTCTAGACTCTCAGTTCCATTCCATTGATCTGTGTCTATCCTTAGGCCAGTACCACATGTTAATACCACATGGCTTTGTAATGAGTTTTGAAATGGGTATGTGTGAGTTTTCTCATTTTGTTTCTTTTTCAAGTTTATTTTGGCTTTTTTGCCTTTTGGAATCAGCTTGTTAATATCTGCAGAAAAGGCTGTGGGATTTTGATAGGTATTACATTAAATCCCTAGATTTGGAGATTTGCCATTTAACAATACTGTGTTCTGATCTATGAATATGGCTGTTTTTCCATTTATTTAAGTCTCTAATTTCTTTCAATAACGTTTTGTAGTTTTAGTATATACAAGCCTGTGCAAGATCATGTCACCTTCAAATAGGTGTAATTTTACTTCTTTCTTTCCAAACTGGATTTCTTTAATTTTCTTGCCTAATTGGGAAATTTAAAAATTACTAATTCAATCTCTTGTTATGGGCCTATTTAGATTTTCTGTTTTAGCTTGTCAGTTTTCAGAGTTTTTATATCTTAGGAATTTATCTTTCTACCAGGTTATCTAATTTGTTGGCATACAGTTATTCATAACATTTTCATATAGCCTTTTCTTTTCCCTTTTTATTTTTTATTTTATTATTTTATTTTTATTCTTTTGATTGTCTACAGTTTTACATATGTCTCCTTTTTCCCAATTGATACTCCCCCCACCCCCCCAGTCATTCCCACCCTGGGCAAATACAGCCTTTTAGTTTTAGTAGCAATGTCTCCTGTTTCCTTGCTAATTTCAGTAAATTGGCTCTACTCTCTTTTTTTGTCCTGGTCATTCTAGCTAAAAGTTTGTCAATTTGTTGATATTTTTGAAGAACCAGCTTTTGGCTTCACTGATTTTTCTCTGTTTTCTTGGGAATTGGGAGATCAGTAACTTAAAAATAGCCACCAAAGGATTTCAGTCTTTTTTTCATGAGGTTAAATAAGTCTAGTTTCTTTAAGAAGGGTCCTTTAGGTACTGAGTTAGGGAAGAGTGTTTGTGTGTGCACACTTACCTTATTCCCCACCCCAATCCTGTCCACCATATTTTTTTTTAAATATATTTTATTGATTTTTTTTTTACAGAGAGGAAGGGAGAGGGATAGAGAGTTAGAAACATCGATCAGCTGCCTCCTGCACACCACCTACTGGGAATGTGCCCGCAATCAAGGTACATGCCCTTGACTGGAACCGAACCTGGGACTCTTCAGTCCGCAGGCTGATGCTCTATCCACTGAGCCAAACCAGTTAGGGCCTATCCACCATATTTTTAAGAAATAGGAAATATAGTCTTGCTCCCGAGGAACCAGCTTTTGTTGAAGAGGCTATGAAATAGCCATAAGAACCACTAAAGAGCAGTACAAGGAGGTAGAGAATGAGATGCAAAACAAGGTTTCTTCCATATCTTCAGAGCTTTTGTGCTCTTTTCTATTATTACTAGAGGCCTGGTGCAGAAATTCATGCGCTGGCGGGGTCCCTCGGCCTGGACTGCACCCTCTCGCAATCGGGGACCCTTCAGGGGATGTCAAACGGCTGGTTTCGGCTCTAGTATGCATATAAGATTTTTGGTTAATCTCTTCCCGCCCTTCCCCATCCCCCTTCCCTCTGAGATTCAACAGTCTGTTCCATGTTTCCATGCCTTTGTGTTGAGCATCTGCCCCCTGGTGGTCAGTGCGCATCATAGGTAATGGTCGAATGGTCACTTAGGCTTTTATATATATATAGACTAGAGGCCTGATGCACGAAATTCGTGCAAGGGGCTTGGCCCTCGCAGCCCTGGCTTCGTCCAGGAGGTCATCCAGAAGGACATCTGAAGGTCATTTGGCTGTCTGGTCTAATTAGCATATTACACTTTTTTATTATATTTTTAAAATTTATCTTTATTGTTGAAAGTATTACAGATGTCCCCTCCTTTTCCCCGTTAACCTGCTCCATCCCATACATGTCGCCCCGACCCAGGCCTTCACTGCACTATGTCTGTGTCCATGGATTATGCATGTATGCACATAAGTTCTTCGGTTGATCCCTCCCACACACACCCCCAAGGCTTTCTCTTGTTTCTCTGCATTGCACTGCACATTCAGGGCCTAGACTTGGTGAGCAGGTGGAGGCTTACCTCCTTTTCTTTTTTTAATATATTTTTTTAATAAATCTTTATTGTTCAGATTATTACAGTTGTTCCTCTTTTCCCCCCCACAGCTCCCCTCCTCCCAGTTCCCACCCCACCCTCCGCCCTAACCCCCCCCCCCCCCCCCCACTATTCTCATCCATAGGTGCACAATTTTGGTCTAGTCTCTTCCTGCATCCCCCACACCGCTTTCCCCCCCAAGAATAGTCAGTCCACTCCCTTTCTATGTCCCTGATTCTGTTATAATCAGCAGTTTATTCTGTTCATCAGATTATTTATCCACTTGATTTTTAGATTCACTTGTTGATGTGTATTTGTTGTTCATAATTTGTATCTTTACCTTTTTCTTCTTCCTCTTCTTAAAGGATACCTTTCAGCATTTCATATAATGCTGGTTTGGTGGTGATGAACTCCTTTAGCTTTTCCTTATCTGTGAAGCTCTTTATCTGACCTTCAGTTCTGAATGATAGCTTTGCTGGATAAAGTAATCTTGGTTGTAGGTTCTTGCTATTCATCACTTTGAATGTTTCTTGCCACTCCCTTCTGGCCTGCAAAGTTTCTGTTGAGAAATCAGCTGACAGTCATATGGGTACTCCCTTGTAGGTAACTGTCTTTCTCTTGCTGCTTTTCAGCTTCTCTCTTTGTCTTTTGCTCTTGGCATTTTAATGATGATGTGTCTTGGTGTGGTCCTGGAGGCTTACCTCTTAGCTCTTGTTACTACACTTCTGGAATTTAGGTTAGCATTGCAGTGTTAATACACAGTAGCTCCAAGAGTGTATCAGTAGCATTGGCTCGGGTTGCAAAGCCAAGCCTGGGACAGAAACTCTTTAATAAGCGAAATCCAAGCTGCCCCAAGACACTGCAGCTATGTTTTCTGCAAGGAATCAGTGATAACTTTGCCAGTTGGTGTAGAACACGGATGATTCTATGCCATTATGGAGCTATTAGAACATTTTGAACATTTGCATTTAGAATAGCAGTATTTTCAGCTGTATTCTGAAGGTCAAGATGAATTTGCATTTCTGATGTTTCTTGGATTTTTCTCATTGTTTCCATGTTATCTTATGTAAACGAATCCTTGTAGGATTGTCTTTTCTATCTTCTCCATTAGTTAGCTTTTAGATCTGTTCATTTGTTTGGCAGTTTATGTTCAATGCTTGCCCTGTACTACCTTTCTAGTTAGAATCTTCCCATCCTTACTGTTTTTTATGTATTTTTTTTATCTCTTTTCAACCCCCCTTAGTTTTTAAAAGTGTATACTGTCTGCAGCCATAAGCCAGTGAAGTTACAGAGAAGTCATTCCCCCTGAAAGCTTCCCTGTGCCCCTTGCAGGCAGTGCCCTTCCCACTCTTGGCCCAGGCAACTGCTGATGTGCTTTCTGTCACTGAAGTTGTACTTTCTTTGAATTTCTTATAAATGTGTCATACGATATGTCACCCTTAAATATAAAGGCTGCGTTCACTTTGCATCACGCATTTTAGCTTCATCCATGTGGTTACATGTAGTTTGTTTCTCTTTATTGCCAAGTAGTCTTTAAGTGATGGCATTGTGGTGTTGCAGGTGGACAGCGTAGTGGCTGCTGAGTACGAGCTGGAGTACCTCCTCCTAGAAGGTCACTGCTATGACATCACCACCGGGCAGCCTCCGCGAGGCCTGCAGTTCACGTTGGGAACTTCAGCCAGCCCCGTCGTCATGGACACCATTGTGATGGCCAACCTGGTAATGATCAGTACATCGAGGCGGGGGTACCAAGTCATGTGCCCTTCAGCACTACAATTTATGATGGAGCCGTTAGCATTCTGACATGAGTGAGATTAAAATTCATGATTAACTACATTTGGTCAATATAAAAACCCTGTTTAAATTATAGGTTGTAATTATATGTCGCTTTAGAAGAAAACATGCTGGAATTGTCTATTCTAAACCAAATTGGAGCCTGAAAATACATTGCTTCTGAGCCGATAGCGTTTCTCTTTTCGTTGGAGGCGTGCAGCTTCCTCCATTACACATTGATTCTTCACTGAAGGGCAGCTCAAGGGCAGGCTTCTTGGCTTGACTGGCCTGTATTTTTCTAGTGTTTCTAATATGTAGATTTTTTTTGAGTTGCACTGATTTGTTTATAGCTATCTTATTTTAAATATAGTTGACTATTATTTCAAAAAAGAAATGACTGTTCCTCAGAACCAGGATATTGATGTTTGAAAGAGAACTAAAATTTGTCTTTTTTTTTAAAGATAAAGAGAAATTATTTATTTTCATGACACCAGCAATACATGTATACAACCTCCTTGTGATCATTTTTTCAAATACAGATAAAGCAAACATTCTCCATTATTAAGCCACCAGTTCCTCTTCCTAAAATTAACCACAATTCTTCTAGAATTTCCTATGTATTTGCATGCACATATGTAAGTATAAAATATGTAAATTTGTTTTGTGTGTTCCATTGTTCTGCATCCTGTTATATGACAGTGCATACAGATCTGCCTCATTGTTTTAACAGCTGCAGAATATGCCACAGAACACACATTCCCCTAGGTTAGCAGTTCTCAAAGTGTGGTTTGGGAACCCTTCACAGATGCTTTCAATGGGTCTCTGAGGTCAAAATTACTTTCATAATAATAGTTAAGACATACTTGCTTTGCACCCTCACTCTTACAAACATACAGTGGAGTTTTTCAGAGGCTCCATGTGTGACGATGTCATTGCTCTGACAGCTAATGAAATGTGTACGCATATTTCTTATGTTTTCCAAAATGTTCTTAAGAAGCAGATTTAGGGTATAAATATGTGCATTTTCAAGAGATTAACTCTGTTCTTGGACTCCTACTAAAATTTGTCTTTTCTTCTTATCCTAGGGTTACTTCCAGTTAAAAGCCAACCCAGGAGCTTGGATTCTCAGACTGAGGAAAGGCCGTTCCGAAGATATTTACAGGATCTACAGGTAGGATTAAGTGATGCTAGTACATCTTTTCAGAGCTTGCTCTGAAAATCAGCTCAAATTGAATACTGCATTGGCAGTTAGCCAGGGTATCAGAGTTTAATTTATAATCGTACTGTGATGAACAGTGCTTTCCCAGGAAATTAAACATGGAAGAACTGTCAGTGTGGAATTGGATGGTAGTACTTCCCAGTACTAATAAGTATGGTCAAGTTGTCACGTTTTTAGATCCGTGTCAGTTTTACAAACATTTTTACAGTTTTATTTTTAAATCATTGGGACCATGGTTGTTAAAAAAAAGTTTCTGACCATTAGCTACTAAAGACGAGGCAAGAGGCTCAGCAGCCGTTTCTGGGGGTCAGCTCCATCATAAATTGTAGTGCTGAAGGGCACGTGACTTGGTACCCCCTTGCAGAGGTCCTCGGGGGGTAGGTCTTCATCGCCCCCGAAACGCGCAGGAAACGCAGGAGAGGCCTCAGGTAGCACTCACTCCCTCTGCTAGGGACCTGGAGAGGCGCCGTGCTGAACCAGCTTCAAAAGAGCTGGTTTACTCCTCCTCACTGGTTTTCCCAGAGGAGGGGCTCAGCATGCCCTTCCCTGCTCTCTCCTCCCAGTAGAGGCCACAGGGCAGCACCCGTGCTCGGAGCCCACCTGGCCCTTAGAGGCTAAGTCCACAGATGAGCCTTCCTGCTCCCCCCGATACTTGTATCAGGTGACCCCAGCAGCGCTCGTGGATCCGCAGGGAGTGGTGCCAGCATCACTCACGCAGCCTGGTACCCAGGGAAGCTGAGTGACAGCCAGGAGAGGCCCAAGAATAACAGACCTCGGAGCACCTGCCACAACTCAGCCCTGCTGAGCTGAGCCAGCATTTAAACCAAACAGGCCGACTCCTGACACATCCCACCTGGATGTGGTCATCACAGAGGCCACAGCAGAAGGCCCCCGATTCCCAGTGAGGGGGAAGGAACAGACCTCACAGATGTGGTCTGAGGTCCTATGAGACGCGGCCCTATGAGAAATGGCAGCTGATGCCCACAGGCACCCATGCCTCTGGGCCTGCCCAGAAAGCAGCAGCAAAGGGCATGGTGAGCAGAGATCTGTAGTTGGATGTGCAGCCCTTGAATTTACCAAGGGACTCAGAGACAGCGTGGCGGGAAGGTAGGCACCCACCTGGCATCCAGGCTGCTCCTGGAGGCCGTGACGCTTATGGTCATCAGCCCACCCTTAGTCGGCCCGTACAGGAGAGGGAATCATAGCCAGAGTGGGTCCCCTCTAAGTGGACACTCACAGGGCAGCCCATCCCACTGTCACTGGGGCAGGCGGAACATAGCTAAGAGGGTAGCAGATCCCGGGCATCAGCAACCCTATAGGCATCACTCTGGCCTAACGTAGACAGTGCCATCCACAGGGTGCCCCAGATGTCCTCGGGCCTGGCACCCCTCCCCCTGAAGGCCTTTCCTTTGCATGTCCAAGCCCTCCAGAAAGTTCCACAGCCTCCCGGCAAGCCCAGGGTTGGTGCCGCTGATGCCCAGGCTGTGTAGCGGGACCGTGTAGAACGGGCTGTGGCTGCAGGCCCGTGGGCAGCGGCTCCTTCACTCTGGTTTTCTTGGGTCAGGGTAGCCCTCATTCATCCCACACTGATAGTCCTTGGAGGGACGCTGCAGGCAGCTGTGAAACAGCCACCATCTTGCCTTCCTCCCCACTCTGGCTGCACAGTAGGGTCAGTGGGTGCAGGGTCCAGGCACACTGCTGCCGGCAAGAGCCTTTCACTTCAGGAGACAGGGAGTCAGCCCACAGAGATCCCAGGATGCTCTTGCTGGGCCCGCCCTGCGCCTCTGGCCCCTTCCTCCCCAGGCACGGCTGCTGTGCAGGGAGCCCTGAGGGGGCCCATCGCAGGGTTTCACAGGCCCCGCTTGGGGTGGGCAGCGCCCTGGCAGCAGCGCCCTTCTGCAGTGCACTGAGGGCACTAGTTCTTGTGCGTTCTCTGCCTGGGTGTTACCCAGATTCTACCAGGCTTCCATGTGCTTGGGGTCATTCTGCACAGCTGCTTCAGAAAGAAGCCCAGCATTCGGCAGGTCCCCCTCCTGAAGTCACCGCACTCCCCATTCGACCTCTGCCAGCTCCCACATTGCCACGGTGACTGCCAGCTCTCACAGCGCCACTCCACACGACCCTCCGGGGCACCTGGTGCGCGCTGGGCGGGGGAGGAAGAGATGGGCCTTTAGGTCCCATTTTCTTTCTGCTACCAGCACCCCACAGTCAATCATATCACTGTGATGGAACCAGGGGCTATGAGAAATGCAGTCATTTCAAGAAGGGAGAAAGGAAATATAGAACAGATAGCCTGTTTCCTGACCCTGAGTTACAGGTGAGCAGTCCCTGTGAGTTTCAGCGTGGGTCCTGGTGCTCACGTGGCCCTGGCCTGCGGTGGGCTGGGAGCAAGGCCTCAGGGCATTTCGTCAGCAGCAGGGATTTGGCTTTAAGGTTTGCAACAAATGACTATTCGTCTTAAAAATTACACTGCCTCTAAAAAGGTGTGGTCTGAATTCTGCTAACACAGTTGAAGTTGGTGTTAAACTGTGCAAAAAGGCGTCCTCTCAGTTTATCTATAGGAAATGGCTTCCGTCAGCGTTTGTTTGCACGGCCTCTTGCTGTGTCCGCACCTGTGCTCCCTGGGACGGACCGGACCTGACTGTGCATTTCTTACCCAAGACATGAAGGCTCTTGTATTAGAACAACATCTTCATTATCAACAGCAGTTTTCTCCAAATGATGTTTTCCCCAAATAGGATTTTACAGAATTGTAATCTGTCGTAAGACATTTATCTGTTTTTCTAAACCACGGTTCCTCCACGTGTCCTTTCTCTGGCCACTCCCCTAACCCCCGCCCCCTGCCTTCCTCTTCCTGCCTCCGAGCCTCCCAGTGGGCATTCCCAAGTCCCAGCCTCCGGAGCATCTCGGGCACCCCTTTGCCTGAGAACTCTCTCTGCGTGACAGTGAACCCAGTGGGTTCATAGTCATCTGGCTCTCCGCACTCCCTATGGAAGGTGCTGGGCGGGGCTCAGGCCTTGGGAGCACAGATGGTGGTGGGTGTCGGGCACACAGTGGGCGGCCCTGGCAGCTCTCACGCTGAAAGGTCATTTCAGTGACTCGGGAAGGAAGTTTGGGCTGTGACTGACGGGGATGCATGGGGTTTAAAGGTAGAGATTTTGGCAAGTGCTTCTGTGGACCTTAAAGGGGCTTCCTGCAGGTCGTGAAAAATAAATTTGTTCTGAAAAACTCCTTTATGATAAAGTGATGGACATATAAGGTGATTGATGTCAGCATTTCCTGCGTGTGAGAGCTGTATTTGTAGCGTCCATCTTATTGCTCCTTCTCTCTCAGCCATGACGGCACAGACTCTCCGCCCGATGCTGGTGAGGTTGTCGTCGTCCTCAACAACTTCAAGAGCAGAATCATTAAAGTGAAGGTGAGTCTGGTGCATGCAGGCAGCCGCTCTTTCGTCGTTAAAAAGGGCAGGGCTCCGGCATTCGGTAGGTGTTATCTAAAACATGTATCGCGCCAGCTGGTGTGTCTCGGTGGTTGAAAATCAACCCGTGAACCAGGAGGTCCTGGTTCGATTCCTGGTCAGGGCACAGCCTGGGTTGCAGGCTCCATCCCCAGTGTGGGGCATACAGGAGGCAGCCAATTGATGATTCTCTCTCATCATTGATGTTTCTATTTCTCCCTCTCCCTTCCTCTCTGAAATCTGTTTATTAATAAAACATGTTAAATAAAAATATGTATCAGTCTTAGAATCTCAGAATCTCAGAAGGAAGGTGGGGGTGGGGAGAAATTAACCAAAGAATTTATAAGCATAACCCATGGACACAGGTGAAGGCCTGGGGGAGGGGGTGAAGCAGGGGGAAAGAAGGGAGGCATCTGTAATACTTTCAACAATAAAGATATAAAATTTAAAATAAAACATTTTTACACTGAAAAAATAAAAATACATATCTTGAAACCAGCATCAAACTTTGTGAGTTAATGGATGTGTTAACTCTAATAATAATGCTATTATTGTGGTAATCATTTCACAGTATGTATGTATACAAAGTTATCACATTGTATACCTTAAGTTTATACAGTGTTATTTGTCAATTATATCTCAGTAAAGCTGAGGGGGGAAGAAAAAGAAACCCAAGACTAATTTTTCATTGGAATTTCACTGTAGTGTTTATAGGAATGCAGCTTTAATTACAAAATGTCTTCTAAATATGCATTTGTGGTTTGCTTCAGCTGAGAGGGCACCTTTTGGGTAATCTCAGTGAGCAATATAAGTCTCATTTCACATAAAATGTTTTCATAGACATTGTGGTGCAGATACCGCCATAATTTACATGATTATTCATAACTATATTCTCAGAAAATTGGTGATAATGCCAATGAAAATTTCAACAATTATAAATGGTAGCTCATTTAACTTCTTTTCACTTCTTTCTACTCAGAATGTTAAGGTTCTTAGTGCCTTAAACTCAGAGGTCCTTATGGAGTAAATACAGGCATGCCTCGTTTTATTGTACTTTTGTTTGCTTCGTTGTGCTTCACAGATTTTGTGTTTTTTACAAATTGAAGGCAAGACCCTCCACCAGCAAAAAGATTACGACTCACTTTGTTGACAGCTACTCACTTTACTGTGCTGGTCAGGAACTGAACCCAGTTCTCACACCCGGGAAAGCCTATCGCAGCCTCACATCATGGCGGGAGGCAGCCCTCCCTGTGCTGTCCAGGAGCCCTGCTGGCTCGGCCAGTGAATCCGGACAGAGGCTACGCACACAGTGCCTCCTGCCAGGACGCACGCAGCTGCGCCTCCCCTGAGAGCTGGCTCTCGGGTGGTGAATTACACTTGCAATTTCACTCAGACTATGTTTCCCACACAATTGTTTGAGGATTTTTTTGCCCATTTTTCAAACTGAAAACAGCTATTGTCTAATGAAAAGAGGTTGCTGTCTTTTCACTTCAGGTTTTGTGTGATGTGATTAAGATATTTCTGTTGAGGACGTCTAGCCTCTGAGTGGGCTGTACTGCTTATGGGAGAATTAATGCCCTGTGGTTGGCAGTACCCACAGTGAACGCCAGTTAGTGCCCGTTAAAACAACAGGAGGACTAAGCCCATCGCCTGTGATCGCAGGTTCAGAAGAAGGCAGACATGGTGAATGAAGATTTGCTGAGTGATGGAACCAACGAGAATGAATCTGGATTCTGGGATTCCTTCAGATGGTAAATTGGCATGACAAAAAGAGTGCTTTTTTAGGAAAAACAGACATAAGCATCCTCCCTCTCTTCTTTGGAGCGTATTCGTTCTGTCTTGGACCTTCCACATGCTGTCCTGTGCAGCCAGAAACAGCCCTTCCCTTCCGTGGGCAGGAGTGTCTCCACGGTAACGAAACGCCCTGTCCCTGGGAAGGGGCTCCTCTCTCCTGCTTTTGACTCTGTGGGCTGTGCTGCTCGTTGCAGGGCTGGCGGAGCATCGCTCAGGTTCCTTCCACTGAGCCTGCTGCCGCCTGTGTTCTGTCTTTTCCTGCAGCTGCGAGGCCTGTTAGCTGCCCTCCCCGGGTGGTGTCCTGGCCCTGAGTCCCCGGGCAGAGGGGCCCTGCTCCTGGTCCCGCTGCACCACTTGCTAGGGAAGGAGCAGGACTGGGCAGGACCATCTCTGCCGCTCCCTTCACGGCCGGTGTCTGTCTGAGCATTTCCCCTTTTGTGCTTACTCTCACCTTTATTATTATAGGGGCTTCACGGGAGGACAGAAGACCGAAGAAGTGAAACAAGAAAAAGACGACATAATTAATATTTTCTCTGTTGCATCTGGTCATCTCTATGAAAGATTTCTTCGGTTAGTCCTGCTGGTTGTTTCCGTATGTATGAATGAATTTGTCACCGTGTTCTTATGTAGAAAGGAAGTGTTCTGTGCGCTCCTGCCCATCGCACCTCTGCGTATCTGAAGCACTCTGAGGGTTGTGAAAGATGTCCATATAATTGTGCTTGTTTTGATCTGGCTAGCAGCATGGACTCAAGCTCTATAGTAAAAGCATCGGTGTGGCTGTTACAAGGCTATAAACCTTTAATATCATTGTGCACATATTATAGATGGTGTTTAACTGGCCACCAAGCATTGCTTAATCCATCAATTAAGAGGTTAACATAGAGAACAGAAGTGGGATAGGACCATGGGCCTGCCTTCTATAGATTCGTAGGGTTTGAGAGCTGCAGTGAGACCTGTTTTATAGACAGCTGGAGACTCGGGGTGAAGGGGCCTGCCTGAGGTCACAGCCAGAGCCAAGGAGAGGCCCTGGCTTGGGCTGCTTGCCCCGGGGTTGCCAGGGGGAAGTCCTCGGGAGTGCCCTGCCTGAGAGGAACTTTCTGAATTCCAGGTTCTTGTTGCTTTAATGTTCCACTACAGACCTAGTGTAGCAAGTAATCAAAATGTCATTTTATGCCGGAACCGGTTTGGCTCAGTGGATAGAGTGTCGGCCTGCGGACTGAAAGGTCCCAGGTTCGGTTCCGGTCAAGGGCATGTGCCTGGGTTGCAGGCACATCCCCCGGTGGAGATGTGCAGGAGGCAGCTGATCGATGTTTCTCTCTCATCAATGTTTCTAACTCTCTATCTCTCTCCCTTCCTCTCTGTAAAAAAATCTATAAAATATATTTTTAAAAAAATGTTCAAAATGTCATTTTACTCATGTCTTAGACCTCCTGTTTCCAAGAAATAATATCTGACCAAAACAGTAAGGCTAGATGTTAGTAACAGCTAAATTTAATTAAATTCCTTGACTCAAAGTGTATTTTTTTAAAATATATTTTTATTGATTTCAGAGAGGAAGGGAGAGGGAGAGATAGATAGAAACATTAGTGATGAGAGAGAATCATTGTTTGGCTGTCTCCTGCATGCCCCCTGATGGAGTCCATACCGGGGCATGTGCCCTTGACCGGAATTGAACCCGGGACCTTCAGTCTACAGGCCGATGCTCTATCCCAGGGGTCCTTAAACTACGGCTCGCGGGCCACATGCAAATACAAATATTGTATTTGTTCCCGTTTTGTTTTTTTACTTCAAAATAAGATATGTGCAGTGTGCATAGGAATTTGTTCATAGTTTTTTTTTAAACTACAGTCTGGCCCTCCAACGGTCTGAGGGACAGTGAACTGGCCCCCTGTTTAAAATGTTTGAGGACCCCTGTTCTATCCACTGAGCCAAACCAGCCAGGGCTCAAAATGTACTTTTGTTTGTTTTCAAAGTAGGGAATCCTGGGACTGTAGCCGTCTGCCATTCCTTCTCCTCGCAGCCCCACAGGCTTGGAGGCAGCCAGGGCTTTGGGGGGCGCAGTCCGTCAGCACGGCCTCCGCTTTCAGTTGTGTCATCACTGACAGAGCAGGTCACGGAGCAGGCTCTTTAGGAGGCAGCAGGACCAACGCCTTTGCCTTTATGGTTGGTGTATGTTTGTGGGTGAGAGATGCGCCTCCTCACTCAGTGATGGTTCACGCCGAGGAACAAGTGCCGTTCTCCATTGTGAGGGTCCCTCTGAGCCTCACGGGCCATCAGCGAGCTCTGCTGTGAAGAACACTTAGTGATCGCGTCATTAACTACTTGATTTTGCTGAGATTAAAAAGCATTGGAAGATCATTACTATTATTTCTTTTCTTTGGCAGCATAATGATGTTATCAGTACTGAAGAACACCAAGACTCCTGTGAAATTTTGGTTTTTGAAGAATTATTTGTCCCCTACATTTAAGGTTTGTTCCTCAGAAAAAAGAAAAAACATTCTTATTAAGGAGCTATGTATAGTATAATATACTTTTTACTACTTGTTATCTGTATAATTTAAAATTTTTCCTTTTATTGACTTACCCTGATTCAGTTGCCTATTTCTATGGTGATTACTCTTCCAGACTGATCTGTTTTTGGGGGAAGAGTTGTTATAACACTGAACACAAAGTCATGTCTTGTCGGAAGCTTGGATAGCCTAGGAAGAGAGCCCATGTCATTTGTTTGATGAGGTAACGTTCTCTCCTGCCGTGGTCTGATGACAGAACACGGCTGGTTTCCAGTCGGAACGATGGCTCTCTCCTGAGCGGCTCCCCAGCGCCCACCAAGTAGCGCCTCATTGGCGTCCAGCAGAAACACACTGGGAAGACTCTATGCTTTGTTTATGTCAGTTAGCATTTGCCCTCTAAATGGACTTATTTGCATCTTTTTTGTTGCTATTCTGTGGAATTTACCAAATAACTTTTAAGGCGTTCAGTAATTTCTCTTTTAGATGAGTATTCATTGCTGGTCCCCTGAAGGTTCTTGTGTTTAGAATATGAAAGGCTTAATGGCAACCCATTTGTCCAGAGTGTTTGGTTGCCACACCATTGCCTGGGTTAGACCTAGCGGAGATGAAACAAGCCCCTCAGAGACAAATGCCACATGACCTCACTGACATGTGGGCTCTAGTGAACACAGTACACTGACAAACAGAACAGGTCCAGAGCCTGGGTGCACGGAACAGGCTGACAGACTGGGGAGATTGGAAGAGATGAGCTAAAGAGCTTGTATAGCCCATGGACACAGACAGTAGAGGGGTGCAGGCCTGGGTGGTGGCAGGGAAATGGGGGGCATCTGTAACAGTGCCAACAATAAAAAAGGCCAGCTCAAAAAAACGCTTTACTGATCGAGTTTAGACAAATGAAGTTCATTTCTCTTCAACACACCCACACAAAATGTGAATTAGTTGTCTAAAAGCCTTTACTTACAGATGTCTGTCATTTCATGTAGTGCTCGAAAGTCATAAAGAAATGGGGATTTGGCAAACGTTTATATGTATTCTTTTATGTCCTCACCAGGGGCCAGGCCAGAGTTTTTCTTAGACCGTTGTTACTTGTTACTAAATGTGTTTTACTTGTGCCATCATTGTGACGGCTGTCTTGCATCATGAAGTCAGCTTTCTTACAGTAAATGATGGTTGTTCCTGTGTCTGAAAACAGGAATTTATACCTTACATGGCAGACAAGTACAGTTTCCACTACGAGCTTGTGCAGTACAAGTGGCCCCGGTGGCTCCACCAGCAAACTGAGAAGCAGCGCACCATCTGGGGCTACAAGATCCTTTTCCTGGACGTGCTCTTCCCCCTGGTTGTGGACAAGGTCCTCTTTGTGGATGCTGATCAGGTGAGCTCCTAGAGGCAGCGTCAACAGTCTGTCTAAAGGCGCTAGCCTTCCTTTTCCTTTTTGAATTATTTTATTTTTCCAGTTATGAAAAATACATGTTTATTTTATATTATTTAGAATATATGGAAAAGTATCGCCTAGATGTGATCACTTTTAACATTTGCATTTGATGTGTCCTTTTTATATTTTCTTCTATGTCTTTGTTACATAGTTTTCATTACATCATTATTTTTATCTTAATTCATTTTACATACAAACTAAAAATAGGCATTGTTTCACATTTGTTTGCATATTAATTCACATAAACCTCCCAGCAGTCTTGTGAGTTTCCCATTTTACAGATGAGGCAACTGAGTCACAGAGAGTCTAAGCAATATAAATTTGTTTATTTCTCCTCTCTGTGTGCCAAGCAGTACACAGTGAGGGAGGTGGTCAGCCGGTCAGTGGAAGAGGCAGAGGTGGCCGGCACTCCCGCTGCAGCGGGAGCCTGCGGTATGTCTCCGGGTGCCAGGAAGTGCTGTCTGCAAGGCTGTCTAACAAATGGCTTGTGGCCTTTCCCCAGATCGTGCGGGCAGACCTGAAAGAGCTAAGAGATTTCAGTTTGGACGGCGCCCCTTACGGCTACACTCCTTTCTGTGACAGCCGGAAAGAGATGGATGGCTACAGGTTCTGGAAATCAGGGTACTGGGCCAGTCACCTAGCTGGGCGCAAGTATCACATCAGGTACTGAAAATGGGCCACTCCTAACACTTGTTTTTTTTTTGTTTTCTTTAAATTAATTTTGTATATTTAATACTGAATTGCTAATACACTAATATGGTTCATAAATAAGAATTATAAAAAGTATACAGTGAAAAACATCTTCTCAATCCTGTCTCTATTCCACCTGATTTTCATTCCATAGCAGATAACCTCCTGTTAATTTACTATATGTCCAATGGAATTTCGTAATTCCTTTTTTTAAATTTATTTTTACTTTTTTTATTGATTTCAGAGAGGAAAGGAGAGGGAGAGAGAGATAGAACATCAATGATGAGAGAGAATCACTGATCGGCTGCCTCCTGCACACCCACACTGGGGATCAAGCCTGCAACTGGGGCATGTGCCCTGACCGGGAATCGAACTGTGACCTCCTGGTCTACACTCAACCGCTGAGCCACCCGGCCAGGCGGAATTTCTTAATTCTTACATGAACAACTCTGGCTTCTTTTTGCACAAAATATGAATTTTCTTTTACACAAAATATACCATCCCTGCCCTGGCTGGTTTGGCTCAGTGGATAGAGTGTCGGCCTGGGGACTGAAGGGTCCCGGGTTCGGTTCCGGTCATGGGCACGTGCCCAGGTTGTGGGTTCGGTCCCCAGCGGGGGACGTGCAGAAGGCGGCCAATCAGTGTTTCTCTCTCATCATTGATGTTTCTATCTCTCTCCCTCTTCCTTCCTGTCTGAAATCAATAAAAATATATCATATTTTTACAGGGAGCAGCACAGGGACTAGGGGGAGGGTTACAGGGAGCAGCACAGGGATGAGGGGGAGGGTTACAGGGAGCAGCACAGGGATGAGGGAGGGTTACAGGGAGCAGCACAGGGATGAGGGGAGGGTTACAGGGAGCAGCACAGGGATGAGGGAGGGTTACAGGGGGCAGCACAGGGATGGGGGGGGGGTTACAGGGAGCAGCACAGGGATGAGGGGAGGGTTACAGGGAGCAGCACAGGGATGAGGGAGGGTTACAGGGGGCAGCACAGGGATGAGGGGTAGGGTTACAGGGGGCAGCACAGGGACTAGGGGGAGGGTTACAGGGAGCAGCACAGGGATGAGGGGGAGGGTTACAGGGGGCAGCACAGGGATGAGGGGGGAGGGCTGCAGGGAGCAGCACAGGGATGAGGGGGGAGGGTTACAGGGAGCAGCACAGGGATGAGGGGGGAGGGCTGCAGGGAGCAGCAAGGGGGATGATGATTTTAGTGCTCAACGTTGTTTTTGGTCCAGAACAATGGTAACACTTGTTTTTTTCCACCTGCAACATTTAATACATCAGCAAGACATCTTGGACTAATGGTTATTTAGTAGTTACTATAGCTTTTATTACCTAACCTGCTGACACTTGCTAGAAATCTCTTGTCAGAGATTAAAATATTTCTTTTGGAAGGCAATTAAATAAGAACAATGACAAACTGTACTTGTGGTGGCAGAATGTGGGTTTTGTGATCATTTTCTTAGCCATCTTTGAAGTAGCATATACTGATCCCAAGGTCCACTCTCGGGCCTCAGCTTACCTTTCAAAGAAAAGCCAGAACGTTTGCCTAGTGACCTGTCCCATTGTTCAGTAGAGGCACATTCCTGCCATAATCCATGGTTGTAACAAATGGGTCTTCTCTGTCCAGTGCACTGTATGTCGTTGACCTGAAGAAGTTTAGGAAAATAGCGGCTGGTGACAGACTCAGGGGACAGTACCAAGGTCTGAGTCAGGACCCTAACAGTCTTTCCAATCTTGACCAGGTAAGTGTATTGTTTTGGGGAACACTTCCAGTGCTGGGTATACAATGTTGTGTCAGAAAAAGAAGTATTTGCTTCTCAGTTCTCTCCTCTGTTGGGACAGTGACAGTGCTTTGTTTCTTCACGGGGAGGAATTATGTGTGTGTGCGTGACATTTTCATCTGTTCTCCCCAGAAGACACACACAAGGAAAATGTCGTGGGCTCAGTGTTGCTTGGAAGGGGATGGGAGGAGGCGCTGCCCCCCTGAACATAACTATCTTTTCAGTTTGTACCCAAGCTTCTTGGATACATTTCTTTCTCTGCCTGCTAGGGTCAGTCTATTCCTTTTCTTTAGGAACTAACTAGCTCAAAGTCACAGTGTAGAATACAATATCACAATACTCCTTTTTCTATGTCAGAAACCATGGTATTTTTTAAGAAGTTTCGCTGAGCTAAAAACTGTTCATTAGTGCCAAACAATTTTCAGAGGTGAAATTATAGTTTAGATGTTGTATATAGTTTCACTTAATTTGTTTTACTTAAAAGTCTGCCTTAAACACACTTTAGCCTTTTTGTGATGTATAGCACCCATAAAGAAAAGTGTACAAAACAAAAAATATTCACATATTCACGTGCATTAATAAATCACCACAAAGCCAAAGCTATATACCACCACCTAGTTTAAGAAATAGAACATTCCTAGCATCCCAGAAGCCACCCTTCTCTAACAAAAGTATCCAGCATCCTGACTTCTGTGGTAATCATCTCACTGCTTTTCTATAGAATTACTATACAGAAGCATATATTAAACATGTTTTCTAATAAACTAAACTTTAGCTTCACCTGTTTTTTTCCCTTTCTATCTCTATGGCATCATACAAGATGAACTCTTCTGTTCAGCATTATGTCTGTGAGATTCATCCATGTTGTGTGAATGTAGTGCATTATGTTTTGTTTATTCTACATTTGGGTTGTTTGCCATTTCTATCTTCCATGGGTAATGCTGCTGTGATCACTCGTGCACGTGTCTTGGTGCATATGTATACAGTTTTCAGGTGCATGTACAAATAGAATTGCTTGGTCATCAGGCTTGTGTATTTTTATCTTTACTAGATAATTCCAAGCAGTTTTCCAAAGTAGTTTTAAAGTATACTCTCATCAGCTATATAAGAATTCCTGTCAATTCATGTTTTGACCAATATTTGTTATCAGTATATTAATTTGGTAGGTGTGAGCTGACATCCCATGTAGCTTTCAATTGAAGAGTTTAATGCTTCTACACTTAATGTAATTATCAGTGAAATGGGATTTACATCTGCCATTTCCTATTTTATCCTATATGTCCTCTGTTTTTTGTGTTCCTCAAGTCCTACATCATTGCCTTTTAGGTTAGATATTTTAATTCCTTTGTTTCTTTTGCTATATACTTTTGAGTTATTTTCTTAGTGGTGTCTTGATGATTATCATTAACAGTTTAATTTATGACAATCTAGTTTGGATTAATAACAGCTAAACTTTAGTAGTATACAAAAGCTTTGTACCCCCATACTGTTACTGTCATATAGTTTACATGTTTACACATTATATGCCCATCAATACAGATATATAATTATGGCTTTTTGTAGTTGTTTAGTTATTTGTTTTCTAAATATATTTTATTTTTATTTTATTTTTTCAAATTTTTAAATTCTTTATTGTTTAAAGTATTACATACAGTATTACATATGTCTCCTTTTTCCCCCATTGAGCTCTCCCCGGCCAACCCACACTCCCCAACACATCCCCTCACTCCTCTAGTGTCTGTGTCCATTGGTTATGCTTATATGCATGCATATAAGTCCTTTGGTTGTTCTCTTACCCCCCACCTCACCACCACCAGCACCCACCCTCCTCTGACTTCCCTTTGAAGTTTGATGGTCTGTTCGCTGCTTCTCTGTCTCTGGATTTTTTGTTTGTTTGTTTGTTTGTTTATCATTTACCTTGTTCATTATATTCCACAAAGGAGTGAGAACATGTGATATTTATCTTTCTCTGACTGGCTTATTTCGCTTAGCATAATGCTCTCCAGGTCCATCCATGCTGTTGCAAATGGTAAGAGTTCCTTCTTTTTTACAGTAGCATAGTATTCCATTGTGTAGGTGTACCACAGTTTTCTAATCCACTCACCTGCTGAGAGATATTTTTAGGCTGTTTTCAGATCTTAGCTATGGTGAATTGTGCTGCTATGAACATAGGGGTGCATATATCCTTTCTGATTGGTGTTTCTGATCCCTAGAAGTGGGATCACTGGGTCAAATGGCAGTTCAATATTTAATTATTTGAGGAAACTCCATACTGTTCTCCACAATGGCTGCACCAGTCCGCATTCCCACCAGCAGTGCAGGAGGGTTCCTTTTTCTCCACATCCTCGCCAGCATTTGTAGTTTGTTGATTTGTTGATGATAGCCATTTTGATTTGCTTCTCTTGGATGATTAGTGACTTTGAGCATGTTTTCATATGAAGTCTCTTGGCCTTCTGTATACCTCTTTCAAAAAATGTCAGTTTAAGTCCTTGGCCTATTTTTTTTTTTAAATATATTTTATTGATTTTTTACAGAGAGAAGGGAGAGAGATAGAGAGTTAGAAACATCAATGAGAGAGAAACATCGATCAGCTGCCTCCTGCACATCCCCCACTGGGAAAGTGCCCGCAACCCAGGCACATGCCCTTGACCGGAATCGAACCCGGGACCCTTCAGTCTTTGCCTATTTTTTTATTGGATTGTTTATCTTCCTTTTGTTAAGATGTATGAGTTCCCTATAAATTTTGGAGATTAAACCCTTATCGGATATAACATTGGCAAATATGTTCTCCCATGCAGTGGGCTTTCTTGTTGTTTTGTGGATGGTTTCTTTTGCTGTGCAGAAGCTTTTTATTTTGATGTAGTCCCATTTGTTTATTTTCTCCGCAGTTTCCATTGCCCTAGGAGCTGTATCATTGCTGTGACATATGTCTGATATTTTGCTGCCTATGGGTTCTTCTAAGATTTTTATGGTTTCCCATCTTATGTTTAAGTCCTTTATCCATTTTGAGTTATTTTTGAGTATGGTGTAAGTTGGTGGTCTAGTTTCATTTTTTGCATGTATCTGTCCAATTTTCCCAGCACCATTTATTGAAGAGATTGTCTTGACTCCATTATTTGCTCTTTCCTCCTTTGTCAAATATTAATTGAACATAATGGCTTGGGTCGATTTCTAGGTTCTCTGTTCTGTTTCATTGGTCTATATGTCTGTTTTTGTGCCAGGATCAGGCCGTTTTGAGAACAGTGGCTTTGTAGTAAAACTTGATATCTGGTATTGTGATCCCTCCAACTTTGTTTTTTCTCAAGATTGCTATGGCTATTCAGGGTCTTTTTTTTTTAATCCAGATGAATTTTTGGAGAGTTTGGATCTTGGCCTGTGAAATATGCCATTGGTATCTTAATGGGAATTGCATTGAATCTATAGATTGCTTTGGGTAGTATGGACATTTTAATGATGTTGATTCTACCGGTCCATGAACACAGTATATTCTTCCATTTGTTTATGTCTTCCTCTCTTTTTTCAATGTATACGTTTTCCAAGTATAGGTCTTTTACCTCCATAGTTAAGTTTATTCCTAGGTATCTTAATTTTTTTAGTGCAATGTAAATGGGATTGTTTTGTTCTTTTTTTGTTTCTCTTCCTGTGTGTTCACTATTGGTGTATAAAAAAGCAATAGATTTCTGGGTGTTAATTTTGTATCCTGCTACATTGCCGAATTACTTATTAAATCTAGTAGTTTTTTGATGGAGTCTTTAGGGTTTTCTATGTACAATATCATGTCATCTGCAAATAATGAGAGTTTTTACTTCTTCTTTTCCAATTTGGATGCCTTTTATTTCTTCTTCTTGTCTGATCGCTATGGCTAGCACTTCCATTACTATGTCGAACAGGAGTGGAAAGAGTGGGCATCCCTGTCTTGTTCCTGTTCTTAGGGGAAATAGTTTTAGTTTTTGCCCATTGAGTCTGATGTTGGCTGTAGGTTTGTCATCTAAGACTTTTATTATGTTGAAGTATGATCCTTCTATTCCCACCTTGATGAGAGTTTTTATCAAGAAAGGGTGTTGTATTTTGTCAAATGCTTTTTCTGCATCAATTGATATAATTATGTGATTTTTATCTCAATTTGTTTATGTGATGTATTACGTTTATTGATTTGTGGATGTTATACCATCCTTGCATCCCTGGAATAAATCCCACTTGGTCATGGTGTATGATCTTTTTGATGTACTGCTGGATCCGATTTGCTAGAATCTTGTTGAGGATTTTAGCATCTATGTTCATCAAGGACATTGGCCTGTAATCTTCTTTCTTTGTAGTGTGGTGTCTTTATCTGGTTTGGGGATTAGGGTAATGCTGGCTTCATAGAATGAGCTTGGAAGTGTGCCTTCCTCTTGAATTTTTTTGGATAGACACGTTTTAGTTCTTTGAATGTTGGTAAAACTCCCCTGTGAAGCCAGCCCAGGGCTTTTGTTTGCTGGAAATTTTTTGATGACTGCTTTAATTTCCTCCATAGTTATAGGCCTATTCAGATTTTTTTATTCTTCCTGATTGAGTTTTGGAAGATCCTGTTTTTCTAGGAAAATGTCCATTTCTTCTAGGTTGAGCAGTTTTTTGGAATAGAGTTGTTTATAGTATTTTTTCATAATCCTTCATATTTCTGACTTTGTTTATTTGGGGGCCTCTCTCTTTGCTTCTTGGTGAGCCTGGCTAGAGTTTCATCACTCTTTGTTTATCTTTTCAAAGAACCAGCTCTTGGTTCCATTGATTTTTTTGTATTGTTTTTTGGTCTCTATGTCATTTACTTCCTCTCTGACCTTTATTTTTTCCTTCCTTCTACATATTTTTGTGGTTGTTTTTATTGTAGTTTATTTCTAACTAGTGGCCCGTTGCACGAAGATTTGCGCAATAAGGCCTTCCTGACACAGGCCTTTGGTCCAGCCATAGCAGCGAGGCTTGGCTTC